GTAGTTTATATAACAATGATGTGTTATGTGTTATAAATACTGAAATTGAGCTCTTCTAAATGTTGGTCGTGTTATGTGCATTAAACTGAAAATTTAGTAATTTCAATGGTTATGTTGTTGTTGCTTACAAGTTGAAATTCCATGTTTGATTTGCTTCAACTATTGGATAGTTTTGTTGTAAGCTTGGTGGAGTTGTTGTGAATTAAAAGCTGTCTTCATAGTTTGTTCCTAAAGCTGGAATTATGGTTATGATACTTGAGGCTGAAATTAGCATGTAACATGACATTGAATAGCATGTAATACTTATGCATTGCGTGACTAGAATTAAATTTTCTTTACAAGTATGTTGTGTAATTGAAATGCTAAAATTTTTAGCTTCTATATTAATGATGCATTGTGTGCTTTAAAAATTGAAGCCGAGTTCCTTAAATTGTTGAATGTGTTAATGTGTATAAAACTGAAAGTTTAGTGATTATAATGGTTGGGTTGTTGTAACTTACAAGCTGAAAATTTTATATTAAACGTACCTTACATGTGGGACTATTTTGTTGTAAGGATTGTTGTTGTTGTTGTTACACAAAAACTGAAATTTGTAACTTCTTTTATGGTGCGTATTGTGTAGTTAGAAACTGAAATTTAAGCTTCCTCAATGTTGGTTTTATTCGATAAGTTCGAAACTGAAAATTGCATGCTCAATTGTATTGTGTAAAGTGACACTAATGTTGAAATCAATATAATTTGTATATGTTTAAAGTACCTTGGTGATGCTGCTGATTTGCTGCATGAATGATTGAGTTGTTATGTTTTGAAAACTGCCATGTTGACTTGTTATTAAAGCATGGTGTATAGAACTGAAATTTTGATGTGGAATGCTGTGACATTATGAGACTATGAAGTGTGTCATTCATGCATTACATTGGGTACTACATGGGGGCAGAACATATTTTTGAAAAGGAGAAGATTGTGTTTTTGAAATGAAAGCAAAATCTGAAATTTAAGGAAAATGTTCGATAAAATTTTGAATAATGGGGAGAGACATTGGCACCTCATTAACATTGCATTCCGTTGCATTTACTAGATTGTATTATGTGATGATTATTACTTCCCGAACAAGCATGACCCTTTTTCTTATCGTTATTCTTTGTGTGGATTCACGGAGGCATTAAGGAGTGCGTTTTAGGCATCTTCTACTGAGCCGTTGTGCTCACTCCTTATTATTATTTTTCAGGACGCGGAAAGGATGTGGCGAAAGAAAATCCCTAAAGGCTTAGATAGGACTAAATGGACTTTCTTGTGTTAAATATTCTGTTGTATATACAAGTTTTGTAAAACTTTAAACTTGTTTTGTATCTTTTTCGTAAGCTTATGTTCAGAGACTGTAGTCGGATGTAATGTATCATGTAAATAAACTTTTAGTTTTTCGTCTGTGTGAGAGTATGAATTTTACCATTATAAATGCATGTGGTGACTATTGTGGGACAGGGTTAGCCTTTTATATGGCTCACAGATGAGTTTGGAAATTACAGGACTTCAGAAACTTAGAATCTGTATTTCAGTTTTTAAATTTGGTATGATGTGTTCCCTTGTAGTTTAGAAGTGGGAATGACTGTAGTGATAGTAGATAATCTTGGGTTCGAGTAAGGACCCGAATACGATTCGAACCCCTGGGTTCGAGTCGTTACAAGTCATAGCAGTAATATAAATATAACTTGTCAAACCAAGTTTACGAGTTTGTATCTGAAATTTTTCACCAATATTTGGAGAATTGGGGAGGAATTTAGAATGGTTGTAGATAATTGTAAATATCTGGGATATTTTGGTGGTGTATCTTATTTTATTCGTCTATCAGAATGCATCCTAAGAGGCGATTACCCATAAATAGGGAATATGACTCGTCTAATCCAGCAACTCTAATTACTAAGAAAGCTATATTGAATGACATAAAAAGTAATATAGGTACAAAAATATTACCATAAGTAATATTAGAAGTAAAAGACTAAAGAGACTTTACATGGAAAAAATTAAGATATTATATTGTGAATATTAAACCGAAAAGCATATCATCCATGGTTAGCAATCTATATTCATCAAGGTTATTATTTAATGGGGTGGGAAATATCTTTTATCAATTTATTAAGTATTGGAGTAATCCGTTATTTTATAAATGCAAAAATAATAGCAAACCAGTATTACATAAAATTGGTAAAGAAGAAAAAAGAAAAGAAAAGATGTATTGTGTTACCATTCCAACCACAACAATATAAGAGTCCTACGTACTAGTGACAAGGAATTTTGCGCATATTGTGTTTGTGTTGGACACTCTTCCGTCTCCACTTTCTATATACATGTTCATAAATAAATATTTTTATCCGACCCTTTGTAAACGTGTTCATAAATAAAAATTAAATTTTATTATTTTGAAGACTTCCCAACAGTTCTCGACACTTTGCTGACATGCAGGAATGGAGTTGGGATGTAAAGTCCAGGGTCAAAAAAAAAATTGGGAGGTAATAGTGTATTTTTTATAGTAATTTTAAGGGGCAAATGTAATATTTTATGAGTATATTACTAAAAATTAAACAAATTATAAAGATAGAACACTAAAAAAAAATTGAGTGGGGGCAATTCAAAATGTGTATACGTCCCAACTTTTTTTTTTTTATTATTTTTATTTTTAAAAAATTGACATTATAAATATTATCAGAAGTGAAGTATAAAATAATATTTGTCCATTTAAAACAAAAATAATATTATGAGGGCGTAGGAGGAGAGTGGAGCGCCCGGTAGGAGAGAGCGAAGCGATGTTGTCGATTCCGAACTGAAGGAACCTACCGGTTGGACAGGGAGAGTGCTGATCACAGCTCTCGAGACCAACTCTCCATCGCCTAAAGCACAGAACCTCCGCCACCGGAACGGACCCCCGGTTAGAGGCCCATTTCGAATAGCCGATTATGGAGCTTTTTTTTCCTTAACCTTTCAAGGAGATCCGATCCCGCACAACAACAAACAATTCATAGGAAGCGGGCAGGAGCACTGATCACTCTTGTCCGTGACAGAATTGGGCACCTAGCCTTAATGTCTAAGTTCCCAATCTTTGATTTCAACAAAATCTTCTTCATGGACGACACAAAGTAGTGGAATAACGTATATACATGCAGGTGCGGTGTTAGCGCATATCCCCTCTCCTTTAACCTCCAATTCCCTAATCTTATTAACATTGTCAAGTCAAAAAAACAAAGAAAAAAACATATAAAATATTACCAATTTAAATATTTTGAATTTGGATTAAACATTTCAATTTGAATTTATATATAAAATTGTGGTTGTGAATCTGACGTGCCATTCAATTGGTGTCCAAAAAATTATATATCTTTTACTTGTGTTATTATCAAGATATATCAAACAGAAACCTTTTTTTTTTAATACTCAGTCACATGAAGGAAGTACTTTATTTTTTTTCCTAGAGTATTAAATTTATTTCTATTTTAAATTTAGGACGCCAATTCGATCCTCATTATATAAATTCTGATAATACATATTTCAATATTCCTAATTTAGGTGAGGTGTTTGGATTAAAATCCCTGCCTGAGATTCGTCCAAGAGTAACAGCCCAATCAGGCAACAAGGCCCATATGATTCATATGATATGGCTCAAGAGTAAGCTAGGGTGTTATAGCCCAGAATCATTAGAGATCAAAATAGCTACTTGATTAGCCGTTGGGAGAATCAAGTTTGAACTTGTTTTGCAATACTTGTTGTGTAGTATATACCCTCCAAGGGCACAATCAAAGCTAAGCAGCCGGTCATTGGTTTCCCGAACTCCCGGAAACAGAACACGTAGTTTTAAGGAATTAATCTTTAGTTAAACATGTCTTTGATTCTGTGTCTTTCAAACCAGCAAATATTAATGTTTATAAAAAAATAGCGGAGAATTTAGAACTTATTCATATAATAAACCAGACTAGTTTGGTTTTTAAAAAAATCTCGTGTCAACATATACTACATGAAAGTATTAAGTAGCCAAAAACATTAATTCAAACATGATCAGAACATAATAAAACTCAATCCAGAGTTTAAAGAAAATCGTTTTTCATGGTGAGAGCAGGGAGCTGTCAATTTTGTAGCAGACCCTATGAACAATGGGTATGCATCAGAGTTCATGTTTAATTGTTGTTTGCGCATTCAAAATAGTTTCAAGTTTCTAAAATGTGTCAATGAGTGATGTTGTTGTTATTTATGCAGGGCATTCCCAACCAGATAGAAGGCGTTAATTGCTTAGTATGGCCATTCAAAAATCAAGTTTGAACTACAATGGTGACTCGACTAGTATTCAGATTATTAGTCCCTAATTTAGTATGGAAATTAAATTAAGATAAATTTAACTAAATAAAACTATAAGCACAGATTAAAAAAAAGTGTTGGGTGTTTCTTGCATATAATTGCATTGGAGGAAACAAGTTGTCAATGGCACTCGTGCATTGCATTAAAAATTACTACAGCAACACATTATGCTAAAATACTAAAAATAGGCATGTGATTTTAAGTAAAAACAAATAATACTGAGTTGGGTACATGGTGGGAGGGAGACACTGCATAAACATAGCTGGTATTGTGTTCAGATCCAAATCTGGATCATGTTTTGATCATTTTGCACTTTAAAAATTGTATAGTACGTGCACGCATTTGCACATTTATTGAGAAGAAGATTAGAAAGTATGGTTCTGGCAAATTTCTACTTAGAGGAGACAAGGTTTCTGTGCCACTCGTGCATTGCATATTTTATGTTGAGATATGCATGTGATTTTCTAAGTTAGAAAAACAATTTGGTGGTGAGTTTGGAACCTACAGGGAGGGAACATTGCGTAAACATTGGCGAGGTTGCAGTTAGATCCAAATCAAGTTCAAGCTGTCACTCAATTATTTGTTAAATGATGAGATACCTTGTGTCTCCTTCAGTACCCTATCATACATACATACATATATATATATATGGACGTTATACCAGGGAAAGAAACTCAACCTGAGAGTGAATTGTACATTCTAGTGTCTAGCCTAATTTGTAGTATTGAGAAACAAAGATGGTTTCCTCTCCTTTGAGATCAAAAACTCGATTCCATGCTCGCTCTGTTAGCTTGCCCTCTAGATCTCATCCACTCATTCATCAATTCGATGAGCATTTGTGCAGAGTCAAGGCTTCTGAAGCCACATCCATTAGCAACAGACTAAGTGGTCTTGAAGAGTTGTATGATTGTGTGGATGATTTGCTTCTGTTGCCACACACTCAACAAGTATTTGCTCAAGAGCGCAACCAGAAATGGGTTGATGAAGCGTTGGCTGGGCATCTCAGGCTGTTGGATGTGTGTGCCATCGCTAAAGATATCTTCTCACAGACAAAGCAAGATGTGCAACAACTTCTTTCAATCCTGCGCAGAAGAAGGGATGGTAATGATTTTGGTGAATATTTGTCTTCTCAAAAGAAAGTGAAGAAGGTGATCCAGAAGTCCTTGAAGGATTTGAAAAAAATCAGAAACAATGAAAGCCTTCTAGCCTGGGGCAAAGAGCATCAAACTGTGGCAATTGTTAGCATGTTAACAGAGGTTGAAGTAGTCACTTTAGCCGCGTTTGAGTCCTTATTGTCCTATATTGGTGGTGGTGGATCAAAAGTGCAATCAAGGCCAAGTGGTTGGTCTTTGGTTTCCAAACTGATGCATCAGAAAAGTGGGTCACAACAAGATGAAACAGATATGAATGAGTTTGACAAGGTTGCTACTGCATTGCGCTCACTCACCAGTCACAAGGCAAGCAAATCTGACTATGAAAATTTGCAAAATCAGTTGGGGAAGATGGAGTCACTCATTCAAGATACGGAAGAACAGCTAGAGTGTCTGTTCAGGCGTTTAATCAGAACCAGAGTTTCCCTCCTCAACATTCTGAGCCAATAGTCAGAAAAGAGATTAGCTAAAAAAAAAATTATCTGTTCATACTTGTACATGAAATATATTTATAGTTGTCATTTGATTATAAATCAATATACTGGTGGATGATTATTGCTTGCTATATTCGACTCTTTTTGTCATTTTTGACAACTTTCAGTCTATTAAATCAAATTAATATTTCTAACAGTTCTATTTTACACTGCAACTTGTGGTCTCATAAATGCTTGAGTGACATCCCATGTGTAGTTTCCCCTTGATAATTGAACAAATACTAAAACAGAACATAGAGGAAAAGCCATCATCAATCCGTATATTCATGGTACTTTTTCCTTTACTTTACTGTATTGAATTCTTTTTACAATTATCATTCATGGTACAACATGTGCTTGATATGGCATACAATGAAACTATAACTGGTAGCTTAGATCACTTTTCAATCTCAACATATTTTTGAACCACTTAACAGAAGACTTTGGAATCCTTGTGAGATTATTCTTATAGTCCACAAAATATAGTCCAAACCGGACCGTATAGCCTGAGTTCCATTCCCAGTTATCAAGCAAGGACCACACGAAATAGCCACGCACATCACAGTTGTCATCCCTGCATCAATTATCACAATAAAAAACTTCAATGAAGCCAAGACTGAAAAGAGAATAGTCATCAGCTCGGGATTTGGCAGTACCTTATAGCAGCAGATAGGTTTGACAGGTAGTCTCTGTGATAACTTATCCTCTTGTCATCCTGTAAAGCCTTGTCTAAGGTCATATAAGGTCTGTTTGGATCATCCATGCCTGCAGTCATGAAATTAAACATTGTGAAATATCCCTGAGCTGGAGGTTAAGCTTTTCATGCTGTAAATACTTACCATTTTCAGTGATAATCATCGGTGGGTTTCCATATTTATCCTTCACATGCCTTAATAGTTTTTGGATCCCCCAAGGGACTATGTGTAGCCAGTGAGAAGCAGCCTGGAGGAGGGATAACCCATGAGCAGATTTTTAGATAAATCCTACACTGAATTTCTAGTCCTCAATTAGGGTCTGGAACATACTCTTTCTCCAATAGCGACTCCATGTCTGGAAGCTGAAATTTGGAACATTTACAACAAAAAATCAGTTACCATCTTAGCCTATTGATTTTTGTTTCAAAATTAGATCAACACAGAATGTTTTGCTGAGGCATCTCACAGGTAGTGATCACGCCATTATCTGATGAAGCATCCTGCAATATAAACTTCCGAATCCTAGTTCTGTCATTCCGGGCATATAATGTGGTGTAGTGATTTATGCCAACAAAATCCAAGGTCCCAACCAGTAATCTTGACACCTCAGGGTTGATCTCGGGTAATCTCTTACCCACAAGCTTCTGCATCGAAAGAGGATATCCGCCAAGGAGTAGTGGATCAAGGAACCTGATTCACATTCTATTTGTTACAAGGACTAATGCATTGAACTCGGTTTGTCTTCCATATTAAATTTGAATAAGATGCTCTCCACAAGGACTTACCATCCAAGTCCAAAATCAATTGCTCTAGTTGCAGCATCTTTATCCTCATCACTATCAGATATCGGTTCATACCATTTGGAATCTAGTGCTATCCCAATCAGACCTCCTTGTCTTTCCTGGAAAACCCAAACGAATAAATAAAGAAAAACGCAACTTGTATTCTTTTTTTCCTTTCACTTTTTGCCTTTTCATTTGATAGGAAAATAAGCACACAATATCTAGTAACTAAATCATGTTGCAAGACTAAATCATTTCAAGGTACTTCAGTACTATTCATCTACTATCATATGCACTTCCATGTTCTAACTCACATGCACTTCCATGAAATAAGCACACAGTATCTAGTACTATTCATCAACTGGAGTACCTTGAAATGACGTTGATAACAACGATAAACGGCAGCATGAGACAAGAGGATGTTGTGAGCCACAATGTATGGTTCAACCGATGATTTTCCTGTTTTACAGAAAATATGACCGAGAATAGAACACCTTCCAGGAGCTTGAATGCCTGTGTCATAACCTTGGATGGAGATACCGTGGGGTTCGTTGAAGGTGATCCAGTACTTCACTCTGTCTCCAAAAGCTTGGAAGCAGGTGAAAGCATAGTGCTCAAAATCCTTTCTGTGAGACAATAGAACCTGTTTTTAAAGCTGTAATCTTGCAAAGATTAAATTAATTTTTATATTTGTATTGTACTTACATAATTCGATTGCTTAACCACCCTTCGTAGCTATCTTCAAGCATTTGTGGAAGATCCCAATGATAAAGAGTAACATAGGGCTGAATTCCTGGTAGAGAAAAAAGAGCAGCTAAATCTTCAAATCATAAAAAAGATTTGTGAAAGGAATAATTTATTAGAATTCTTCTTTGGGTGACCTTTTTCCAGTAAAGCATCTATGAGGCAGTTATAGTATTCTATTCCTTCCGAATTTGGTTCTCCTGTTCCATCTGTTAAAAATATGTTCCGATAAATATAATATAAGATTGCATAAAAACAATGAGGGAGGTAAGAAAAGAACCCTACACAGTGACATATATGTCTTACTTGGGAATATTCTTGACCATGATATTGAAAATCTGTAAGCATCCATTCCCAAGTCCTTCATCAAGTGAATATCATTCTGTAATCACAAGTTTTTGTCTCCTTTTGTGTTAGTAAGAAATAATGTGGTGTCTGTAATTGACTAAAGTTCGTTTGCCCAAATACACATATATATACATATATGTGTGTGTCTTTATATTATTCCCCCTGTTTGTTTGTTTCTGAAGCTATTCTTATTCTTATCTTGTCAAAGTCGGTGGCACATCATCATCAATATTATTGTTGTTATTCTTCAACTTGTTATTTTATGATTTCAATTATTGAAAAATAATTAGGTCTTATCCAACTGAAATCTCTCCTTAATATCTGGCTTTATCATTCTAGTGATATGAATTAATGATGTTATCTGAAAGTACATGATAAATTTGTCCTTCCTGGTTCCAACACTGTTTTATTAGTACCTAAATATTAGCCTGTACAAGATATAAATTCGAATGCGATAGACAGAACAGAACAAATTGTGAAAAGAATTTAGAAACTTCTAGACATGAAGAATTAGAAGTTAGAGCCCCAATTAACAATGTATCTTCAGAATTTACCTTAAACCGATGATATTGATCAACAGCCAGGTCTGCATTGCTGAAATCCAAGATTCTTCCTGTTTAAACACATAAAGCCGACCGATCGAACGTATTAAACAGATTCTAATGGCTTCAGAAAGAACAGAATTGGGCTTAAAATATAACCAAATTCCCTTTTAAAATATGAATTCTTACCAGGTACCTTTGTGAAGGTATCCCATATGCTAACACCCTTTTTTCCTTCATTCACAGCCCCTTCAAACTACCACACAAAACACCAAATGATCAAACACTCTTTTTACAAACACCCCATTATTTACATAGAAACAGAGAGTAATTAAGAAGAAGGAATTGGAGTACCTGGTAAGCAGAAGAGGCGGTTCCGAAGACGAACCCATCTGGAAAATCAGCTCGGCTGATGGATTCAGAGTTCACAAAGAGACAGGTGATAGAAAAAATGATCAGAATGATTGTCATAATTCATGAAGAAAAATGTATCAGATTATGTTAACTTGATGGTGGTTTTATATTGAGGTTTGGGGTTTGGTAATGGGGTTTTATTATCTAAAACAAAAGAGAAATGTGCGTGTGCGTTTTCATTATCTTAGTTGTGAAGGTGAAGACAAGAAGAACTGGGCAAAAGGGAGTCTTGGTAGTGTCTTGTACTATAAGGTGAGAGGATGGCTTAGGGAGGTTTGCCGTTAATCTGTCTTTGCCTTTTGTGTACACGTTATGTCATCCGGAGAACCTGTGCTCAGAATTGACTAATGGTAGGTGATTGGATAAACACATGTTATTATATGTTATTTTTATTCTTTAGCTGCTCGGTGAATATGTACATATAAAATATTATTTATGATAAAATGCAAAAGATTCCGCTACCATTTGAAAAAAATAGAATAGTGACTGGTGTGACAGTTATTGAAATAAACTTTGATGAAAACCACGAATGGCACAAAAATTGATCAGAAAGTGTAATATTGCTTGCATGGAAAATAACTTTCTAAACCAACTATCAACACCCATTTTTCCCAGAGTGGCCTGAAGAAATCATTTTGGTGGATTAGAGAAGTGGAAAGAAGGGGCAATTCTTGATGTGGTGGACAATAGAATGAGAGATGACTATGATGAGGTAGAGATTGTGGTTGTGCTCAAAATGGGGGTTTATGTGCTCTAACAATGGAGTCCGAGTATGGGGCAGGTGATGAGGCATTTGGAAGGGGAGGTGGGGTTGCCTCGGGGACTTTGCCTGACAATTATGATCGGAAAAAGGAGGGTGGTGGTGGTGTTCAAATATGCAAAACCTCATATGTCAGTCAATTAGAAAATCAATCATAATGCATGTTGAGAATCTTCAAAAAGAACTGGGGATATTGGAGTTGAGCATTCATAATCTTGAAGAAGGATTAGAATGCCTATTCAGGCATTTAATCAAATACATGGTGTCCTTTCTCAGCATAATTTGATAATAGAGAGTCAATTGTTATCCATTATTTTGTAAAAGAAAATGTTTTTGTTACATTTTATTCTACATGTAAAAAGACTCCATGTTAAAAAGTACAGTTTAATTTGATTCTATACCAAAATTTGTCTTTCGCACAGAAACAGCATCTCATATTGCATGGTAAATGAACTGTAAAGATCCACAACTGTCACAAAAATCAAGCAAGAGACTATTACCCAAAAGAAGACTCGTCTCTAAATCACTATTCTTATTACAAAGCATAGTAAATATATCTACCATATCAATTATCACTACCAAGATTTGTATTACAATATGTTTAATAAAACCATAAACCAAGATCAAATAAGTGAACTAAAAAGATTTTTTTTAATTTGTTTTTGGGAAGGGTAAGGCAAATTTATTGATAGAAAGCAGAAATAGTCGTTTATAAGATGTGTGACCCAATAAGAAATTGGACCATAACAAACAGGCACTAGCCCATGCAATCAAGGTCCGGTCCAATGCTGGAGCCCAACTAAATATACCCAAAAGAGACGCATCATTCCTCCAAAAACAACGCATTTATAAAGTATTAAACATCTATACAAGCACCCAATATATGTGTGTTTATGTGTGATCATAAGCATCTAAATTCATGTTAGGGTAGTGATTACTACTATATGTTTTGTTTGAGGAATACAAAAAATAAAATGTGGGACTTCTGATGCGTTGTAAGTATAGTTTTTATAACCTAAGTTGATCAATTGTATATACGCACACACTGTCTCTCTCTCACACACAAAAGTATGAAAGGCACATATAATGCACGAGTACACAGCCTTGTTGTCTCCCAGAGTGGCAGAACAAGACACAGCGAGAACGAAGGCATCATCTTAGTAACATTGTTGAATCTCAGATTTGTCTAGATAATAAATAATCAATCGATGAAAACATAAAATGTATTGACATAATTGAGATTCCTTTTACCCTCACACGCTTGGCTGTGGACAAGAATAATACAGCAAAGAAAGAATGGTGCTGGCATTTCCTGCTTATGGGAAACATGGTGTCAATGCCACTCGTGCTGCTATTGCATTGCATATTTTGTGGATCATTTCTGTAAAATAATACATATATGCCATCATTTTATGTTTAGATATATATGTGATTTTCGAAATTAAAAACATTATAGTGGTGAGTCTGGGACCTGGTGGGAGGGAGACATTGCGTAGACATTGGCGAGGTAGTAGTTAGATCCAAATCACAATCACGTTGCTATTCATTGATTGTTGAAGAGGGTGAGATTCCTTATGTTTCCTTCACCTTATGATGATATATATATATATGGAGCTTGTGCAAAGGGAAAGTAACTCAAACTTGAGATTGCTTTGTACATTCTAGTGTTAAGAGCCTAATTTGTAATAAGAAACAAAGATGGCTTCCTCTCCTTTGAGATCAAAAACCGGTTTCCATGCTCGCTCTGTTAGCTTGCCCTCTAGATCCCATCCGCTCATTCCTCAATTCGAGGAGCATTTGTGCAGAGTAAAGGCTTCTGAAGCCGCATCCATCAGCAACAGACCAAGTGGTCTTGAACAGCTGTATGATTGCGTGGATGAATTGCTTTTGTTGCCACACACTCAACAAGTATTTGCCCAACAACGCCACGAAAAATGGGTTGATGAGGCATTAGACAGGTATGTGAGGCTGCTGGATGTGTGTGCAATTGCTAAAGACGTCTTCTCACAAGCAAAGCAAGACGTACAAGAGCTACTCTCAATCCTTCGTAGAAGACGTGATACAAATGACTTTGGTGACTACTTGTCCTCAAGAAAGAAGGCTAAGAAGGTGATCCAAAAGTGCCTAAAGAATTTGAAGGGTGCTTTCAGAAACAATGAAAGCATCATATCTTTAGACAATGACCATGAAACCATGGCCATTGTTAGTATGTTGAGTCAAGTTGAAGCTGTCACTCTCAACGTGTGCGAGTCCATGCTGTCCTATACCGCGGGGACAAAGGTGCAATCAAGGCCGAGCAGATGGTCTTTGGTGTCCAAACTGATGCACAAGAAAAATGCATCAGGTCAAGATGAAGAAACAGATATGAACGAGTTTGACAACGTCGATGCTGCATTGCACTCCCTCATAGGTCACAAGACAACCATGTCTGATAAAGGCACGTGTGCTGAGAATGTGCAAAACCAAGTGAAGAAATTGGAGTGGAGCATTCAAGATCATGAAGAAGGACTCCAGTCCTTGTTCAGGCGCTTAATCAAAACTAGAGTTTCCCTCCTCAACGTTCTCAACCACTAGCCAAGAAATCATGATTCAATATCATGACTATCTGAAATTTTGTTAGGATCATGATATGTTCATACTTGTACATGAATAATATATTTCCGTTTTTATTAATTCTTATAAATGAATATACCTTTCTTAGAGCATTTTTTGAATCAATATATAATTAAACTAATATTTCTAGCTTCAACGTCCCACTTTATACATGTAATTGCTTATAAAAATAAATTAAGAGGAGATAAAAAGAAACAAAAAAAAAAAGACGAATCTATATGGTCAACAATCTCCTTCGGCTCGGTGATGGAGTGAGGATGATTAATTTTGATTGGTCACAATATAACAATTTATTAAATCTTGTAAAATATGAAAAAAACCAAGCTACTAAGTGTAAAAATGCGTGATTGAATTTCAGAATAGTCACTTTGTGTAAATAATGACAAAAATATATGCATTTTTTTCAGTCATCTTCTAGTAATTCAAATTATTGATCATGGCACGGTTTTATTTATTTATTTTTTTTAATCGTCAACGCCATCATGTGCTCTCATTGGCTGTGCTCTATCTGTCATTGATTTTATTTTAGAAAAGCACAAAAATAAATAAATAAAATATGTGCTTGCTAGAGATTTCACAAATGAAATTTTAAATATATGTAAATAGGAACCAAGTGACAGTAAAATAGTCTTTCCTGTTTCATTTTTATTGACTTCAGTTACAAAATGTCACGACCCTCGACCATCATTCAAGTTGTTAATATAAAACAGAACAAAAAAATGCTCGTATTCAGAAATGTCTAACCGAGCCCTGGAACAATGCCATTTTTTTTTTTTTTTTTAATAAAACTTTAATGTCCATAGCTGATAATAGAAAAATCCCTTGATTCAAAATCATTTTAAATAAAGTTCCCTGCTCACACATTATCTAAAAATATGAAAATGAGTTTCATATGTAAAATCCCATAATTCTTTAATTACAATATTTAAACACGATTTGTTTGGAAAAATATTTAAAAATATACATATTGGTCTCAAAATATACATTTCCCATTTAGACAAAGATAAATAATCAAATAGAACCCAACATCTATCCATAGCTGTGGAGAAAATCCCTCTGCGACCTCTTATCCATAACCTGAAAAAAATGTATATATAATTGGAATGAGCAACCACAGCTCAGCAGGAAATGCCTAACCACCACTTTTTAATACCCCCGTGAATCCAAATAAATAATAGGAATCAGAAAGGGAGTCATGCTAGTCGGGGGGAAAATAATCATCACATAATCATGCTATCACACAAAAACAGTCAACACAGAATAATATAAAGTGCCATATAAGCAGAGTCAAAATCATTCCCCTTAATACAACATTCTATACAAAGTATCACCTTTCTAATTAGCACAACCATCAGTCTAAAGGTAAACCCATGTACCGTGAAAAGACTATCATTCTATTAATACCTAAGGACCCTTTAGCATTAATGATTTACTACACCTAGACAAAAGGATAACTACCCATGTCTAATCATAAATACAAACTGAGAATATCCATCTCTATTACTCCATAATTACCACATTCAAGTCGGGAGAGAAATAACCACAATATCACATTTATAAACCAAATCATGAATGGATATGCCATGCAATGGGTGCAATGTCATGCGATGTCGCTCCCCATTTTTTCAAAACTAATAGTCACTTTTCAAACTGTTAATGTAACCCCCTTCGGTAGCCCCTCAGCGCCGAGAGAAGGATTGGCTACTGTCCCTGACCCTTGGTACCCTCGCGGCGTCATTTGGGGCCCAGATAGCTCAACCACACTAGGACGATCTCCCTAATTCCCTTTAAGTTACATTAACTCCACTGACCGTTGGTACTCCCGCGGCGTCCTGGTTTTCATAAAAACCATTTTATCAAAATTTCTTCTCCCAAAAATCCCTTTCACTTTCATTTCAAAACACTTTCTCCTTTTCTTTCATGCCCAATGCTATAGATGAATGCACATGCTTCACAATATTATAATACCCCATCATTACTTACATCAAAATCCAATTCTATAAACATACTTTGGCAACAAATATATCATGGCAGCAAGCTTCACAATGACATACTATCACAGCTTTCAAGAAATCAACTCAAGCATGTTGACATCTAATCTATACAACATAGAAGTTATTAGACATAGAAAACATAGAGAAATTCTATGACACACTTTGGCAACAAATTTATTCTGGCAGCATGTTTCAAGGACAATATATCATTCAGTTCTTTGAACACTATTACAACACCAAACTTATAACAAAACAGCCCATAATTGAAATGAACTAAATATATAATTTTCAGCTTGTTAAACAATAACAATACAACCATTGTGATTACTAGAATTTCAGTTTTTAGGCACATAAATATCAACAACATTTTAAGAGCTCAAATTTCATATTTAAAACACATAACGCATCATTTCTGTCTAAGCTACAAAATTTCAGATTTTAATTACACAACATGCTTGTAAAGAAAGCCTAATTCAAGTCATATAATGGTTCAATTTAAAAGATTTAATTCACAAGAAAACAAAGGGTGTGAGGGTTAAAACAACCCCTACTAGTTGTTAACAATTCATACGCAACTTGTTACCTCTATCTTTGAAAATTCATAATAATTTCAATGTTATGTCAAATAAAGTGATTCCAAAGTCTAATGAAAGCTTAAACAATGTACTTTAAAAATGTCAATTTAGTTTAACAAAATCCCTTCCCAATTGAAACAGTTTTGACCCAAAATTTTGAAATAAATTATGCCTAGAAACTGATTTCCAGCCTGTTGCTTCCAACTTTGAAAAATCATAAAAAATTCAATTCTCATCCAAATTGAGTGAAACCAAAGCCCATTGAAAGTTTAAAGACTATATTTTCAAGATAAAATCTTACTTCACCAAAATCCTTTACCATTTAAATCAGGTTTGATGAGAAAAACTCGGACAAAATCTGCCCCCAACCCAGAATTTCCAACAAGAACACTATAACTTCAAAAATTCGAAATAAATTCATTTCTCAACCAATTTAAATGAAACTAAATCTCAATGAAAGCTAATTGACTATATTATCATAATATCAAATCATCTCTAAAAGATAAATTACGAATTTACATGAATTTAAGCAAATCAGTAGCATGTAATTAAGTTTCAGCAACACAGAATTTCAGTTTTATTTGTATACACTTTACAACTCAAAATTTGAAAGAAAATAACTCACTAAAGGCAAAGGAATTGAAGGTTAGACAATCCTATCTCTTAAGAGCTTGAAAACCCAGCTACCAACAATTTAAAACAATCCAAAGTAAGCTACCAATTTTGCAAAAAGATGAAGAACACCTCTTGAAATTCAACCAACCCTTACCTTTTCAAATCAGATTTTAAAAATCCCAGCAGTGAAGAATTGATTGCAATTTTTCTACCAAAATGAAGCCCAAGACATCAACTACACTTTTTATTCACAAACCCTTCTCAAAATCCCAACACAAAAGCTTCAAACTGTCATGTAAAGAAGACTACTATAAAGGAGAACAATAAGAATGAAAAATGGCATTTTGGAGATTGTGTTTTGTGTCTATCACATTCAATTGTGATGCTATATGTCATCACACACACACACAATATGTGGCCATGTGACCCCCCATGTGTCAAGTTCACAATTAGTCAAATGCAAGACCAAGCAAAAATGACCAAAAAGTCCTTCCATTATTTCTAAATGCCAATTATGCCATGTGCCTACTAAAAGTCTACTTTGCCCTATATAAAATAATCAAATACCATATATACCATTTGTAAAACAAAAAATCCCTCACGCCCTTTATGAAATAAACAAATGACATTTAACTAAATTAAACATATTTGCAATTTAAATCATAATTTCCGGCAATAAAATAAAAATGCATGAATATCAAAATGACCAGAAAAATGATAAAAATGTAAGTGCTCATACAAAATTATTTAGAATTTTACAGTTATAAATTCAACCATTTTTTCAAGTTGTTGAACTCTCTTCCGCGACTCTTTCAATTAAATTTATTGTAAAATGGAAGGTATGAATTGGAAAGAATAATAATTAATGTTGCACATAGGTAACGGTGGATGTAGGGGTGGGCTCTAGTGGGCTTGAGCCCATTAACACCCCCCCCCCCCCCCCCCCCCCTACTAAAAACAACCAAAAAAATATTAACGCACTCCCCCCCCCCCCCTACTAAAAACAACCAAAAAAATATTAACCAAACCCCCCCCCCCCCCCCTCCCCCAAGAATCTTCGAATCTTCAAGTGTGTGTGTGTATTTTTCTTTGTAGTGTGTCTTGAAGTGTGTGTGTATGTTTTTTTTCTTTTTTTAAAAAATAAAATAAAATAGAACAATTAGATTAATTACTAGGTACAACACAAGTTCCATTGTGAACCACCCCCCCAAAAAACAAAACACACAACACACACACAAATAAAGACCAATATTTTAAGGTCACAAAACGATGTCAAAAATAATAATAAGGCTGAATTAAATTAAAATTATTGAGTTATTTTAGAGTTTGGATTCTAAGTTTTGGTAATTTTTTTTTATCTTTCTTATATTAAGACCATTCATGTATTAAAAAAATTACTTTTAAGATACACAAAATAGCCAAATAAGCTAACAAATAAATAAGCATCCGCCTATTTCAATATAATAAAATCACAAAGAAGTACAACAATTTTCATAAAAGAATCATTTTATTGAGCAGTGCTACATGTCACCAAAAAATTTCATGAGGTTATCACAAAACTGTATATTTATGGTAAATATGCATTTTTAGTCCTTTCATTACCTTGTTTATTTCATATTCCCCCTAAATTAGTGCAGCTTTAGAATTTTTTTTTTTTTTTTTTTTTTTTTTTTTTTGTAAGGTTAATCAATTGTATAAATGAAAGATATGTAAAGGAAAGTAGTACAGGCCCAACTAACCTGAAGACTTCTAGGGGATCACTAAAGACCAATAGAAG